GATGAGATTTCAGGGAGTCAGAAATTAGATCAGCTGGGTCAACCGGTGGACTTTCTTGCAAGTCAGAGCTGTTTCCTGTGGGAGCTCTGCAAATGCTGTTCAGAAAGTCGGCTTTACAGTATTCCAGGCAAAGGCGTCTGTTCTTACCCACTGTGCCTACCTCACCAGCATAGCCCACTTACCTTTTTCTTTTCTTTGTTTCATTCTGTTAGTCCAGGTAATGATCTGTCAGGGCTTCCTAAATGTTCTCTCTCCTCTCTTCAACTGCTTATGGTCTTCACCTGTGTCAGTGCTGAGACCTGGATTTTCTCTGGGGTATCACTGGGGAGAATAGTAAATTCCAGTAAGTAGTAAATTTAGACCAACTTAGATGATGCTGTGCAAGCCCTCGCCCAACACATGCTTGTATGTGCCACTCAAAAAAAAAAAGCTTTTTGCTCTGGGCACAAGACATAGGTCCTCGCCTTCCTGGCACTGCAGCCAGGCTGGCAGCCTGCCCAGAAACCAGCCTTTACCCAAGGGAGAAGATACTCACAGGGCCTCAAACAAAACAAAATCATCAAAGGGTGATTGGAATTTTCTCTGAATGTGGAGCTAAAATGAGCATGCCTGGCACCAGCTCCGCTAAACCCAACTGGAAACCACAGAAAAAATACTTTCGTGTGGTGGTTCAGAATGACTTTGTCAAAAAAAAAGGTAGCCCTCATGGAGACCTGCTCAACAGGGGGACTACAGTGCCCACGGGGGTCAGAAGAGCCATATGGCAGTTATATCTCCCCCTCTCTCTGCTGAGTTCCTGTGTCCATGCCTCACCACCGCCAGCCAGCACCACTGCTGTGCTTCCAGCGTGGCGTAGACGGTGTTAGACATGTGTTGCAGGCCACGTGCATGTGGGTAGTCACGGGTGCCATGGACAAGGGGACGTTAACTCCCATTTCCCATTTCTTGGCACTGTTCATATTCCCAGCCTACTCCTGCAGCATCTTTTCAGCTTCCACATCAGCTTTAATCAGCTGGAGAGAGGCAGAAGCTCTGTATGGGGAACGTGAGCAGTGCTGAGCCTCCAGCAAGGTGATAAGGAAGAAGAACAGAGACTCCATGGTCCAGGCCTATCTTGCTCTCACAGTCCCATCTACCTTTACATGCTGGCATCTCTGGTGTCTACCAGTGCCAGCTAGCTTGGGTTGAACAAACATCTAATAAGATGTTACTGGCCAGTTAATTAATGTTTAGACTGGCACAGTGAACCTCAAATCAAAACCTACTGGTTTAGGTCCTTCTTCACTCCTGCCAAGTGACAGAGAGGGCAGCTGCTCTCTTCCCGTACACACCTAGTGCCTACTAGCCCTGCCCAGCCAGCCCCAGCCACCTACACTTGCTTGGTGTGCAGCACTAGTGGGACTTCATGTGATCAAGTGGGCTTAGACTGTGAATCATAGAATGGTTTGGGTTTCAAGAGACCATAAAGATCATCTAGTTCTAACTCCCCTGCCACGGGCAGGGACACCTTCCACTACACCAGGTTGCTCAAAGCCTCATCCAACCTGGCCTTGTATACCTCCAGGGATGGGGCAGCCACAGCTTCTCTGGGCAACCTGCTCCAGTGTCTCACCACCCTCAGAGTGAAGAATTTTTTCCTTATATCTAATCACAATCTACCCTCTTACAGTTTAAAGCCATTACTCCTTGTCCTATTCCTACACGCCCTTGTAAAAAGTCCCTCTGAAGAGACCCCCTCCTGCAGATCCCACCTGTGCACAAGACTGCTGCTCCCACTGTCTTTCAGCTGGAGGTATCTCTGTGTGCTTGTCCATGGCAGCCCAAGTATGATGGAGTTGCTTTGATGGCTTAGGTCCATACTAACATTGCTTACTCTGACTGAAGCATGGTCACAGAGGCAGCTCAATGGGCAGCCTTGAGAACGCAGGTGCCTCCGGCAAGATGCGACAGTGACTGGCAGTGGGGTGGGAACTTCAGGTGTGCAAGTATTAGTTGCTTTTTTATTCTTTTTAGTTGTAGTAAAAGTAACTAAATGGCCATTTTAGAAGTGTAGACATGTCCTTTAGCCACCTCCTTCCTGGCCTCCTTCTACTCCACTCGCTACTATTAGCAAGTATACCCACAGCACAATACCTCCACTGTGCTGCTGCTGGGTTCCTGCTAATGCTGTTTTTCCTTTGTCTTCTTCACTGTAGGGGAAATCTGCTGACTCGGACCCTAGCAGACATTGTGCAGAAAGAAGACTTTGTTCTGAATTCCGAGTATCTTATCACGCTGCTCGTCGTGGTGCCAAAGTAAGGCATTAGCACATGCACACACGCTCAACGTGGCATTGAGTTTCAGGCCGAAGCACCAGATCCAGGCGAACCTGGGTCAGGTTGGGGCAGCTCCTCAGTGCCATGGCTGGAGCACGAGTGGAGCTGTTAGCAAAAGGAAAGAACAGGTTCTGCCAAGAGTGGTGTTGGCACAAAAGAAAGAGGCAAAGACTGCTCCGAACTCAGAGCAGGGCAGAATCAGGATGCAGGTTTTTGTTGGTTATAGAGTAGGTTCTCAAAAAGCCTTTTGGTAGGAATAGAATGAGTTTTAAAAAAAGCAAAAAACAGATTCTTACTGGAGCTTAGTCACTTTGTAAAGGAATTAGACCTGTCAAGCTAACAAGGTCTCTGCTGGCCGTGTATTCATAAGTGCCTGCACGCATGATGACTGTCATCACCATCAGTTGTGAAGTTATGCGATGTACTTCTCAGAAGTCTACTCAAAACTTTTCCTCTCTGGATAGCCCTGTCCCAACACACACACACAGAGTACAATCACTTTGGTGTCTGTGAAAAACACGTTACAAAAAGCTATCTGAGGTAAGTTTGTTGAGTTTATTATGTGCACATTCTTTCAGATTCCCCCTTGTTGTGGGTTAGGCCGCTCCGGCAACCAAACCCTACACCATCGCTCAACTCCCCCACCCCCAGGGATGAGGGAGAGAATCAAAGAAGAAAAAGAAAAGAGACCCGAGGGTTGAGATAAGAACAATTTACTACTACTGCTACCAATATATATATATATGTACAGATATGTACAAGGATAAACATATACAAATGAGTGATATACGGTGTAATTGCTCACCACCCCTTGACCGAGGCCAGTCTCTTCCCAAAGCTGCAATCCCGAAACAGATAAATCCCGATACCGCAATCCCAGATGAAAGGGAGGCCTGGAATAGAGAGCAAGAGAGAGGAAGCACTCTGAGAGTCCGAAAGTGAGAGTCCTGGAAGGGCAAAAAGCCCTTCTTTCTGCTGACCCTCACTCTTATACTGGGCGTGACACTGCATGATATGGAATACTAATTGGCCAGTTTGGCCCTCAATTTTAAGTTCAAGTACAAATCCTAAGGAGAGTCGTGGACTCCCCGTCCTGACCATGCTCCCCCCTATCCTGTTGTGCTCCTGCACACTGGCAAGAACAGGGCAGCTGAAAAGTCCTTGAGACCTCAGTGCCAACTACAAACATCAGTGCACTATCAGCATTCTTCTCAGAGCGCGCCTCTGAGTAAGACCAAAACACGGAGCTCTTCTAGCTGCTAAAAAGAAGAGCTAACTCTGTCCCAGCTAAAACCAGGACACCCCTATAAGCAGACTTCTTGCTTTGCAAACTCTTAACATCCCTTCACCTCTTTCTCCTGGTGCTGGTACTTGCCATGTTTACAGTGTAGCACCAGATCAGCTCTGGGATTGCACACAGCAGATGTCCCACACCTACCCATGGATCCGAGGCAGCTTGTGTAGGGGTCCTGGAGCATGGGACACTGTGTGGCAGCCTGGAAGTATGTGTCAAAAGCCACATGCTTCCCACCATCAGCCTCCTGCTCTGGGTCTTCCTCATGCTGAGACCCAAAGTGAGGTCTGAGGGTCCAGAGTTGAGGGAGACACCTCCCTAACTGGTGACTAGGAGAGGAAAGGATAGGAGATGCTTGATGTATCTTAATCACATAACCCAGCACAAAGAGTTCCAGCCCTTCTACCCTAAGCCGTTAGCTTAATTAACTGTGTTTATCAACAAATTTGCTTTCTAGTATACATTTATTTACCATGCTTTCTTTGTGTTGCCCAAAGGTCAAGCTACATACAGTGGCAGAAGACCTATGAATCCCTCTCTGATATGGTAGTGCCTCGCTCCACCAAGTAAGTGAAATTCCAAATTAAGGTCCCTGTTTGTTTCAGAGATCCCTGCCATATTTCAGCCCCTCATATTGCTGGATCCTGGAAGGAATCACTTATCTAACACATGGGCTCCATGTTAACATACAGATTTGCCCAATTTCACTCTCAATTGAAATCAGAAATTACGCTGTTTAAGGAAAGTGGAGATGAAAGCAAAAAGAACATCACTGTTTTTCTTACAATTAGCTGGTTGTTCTGTTTTCCAGTAATCCAGTTCTTTCCGCTTTCAACCAGGCCTTTGCTTTTTGTGTAAAACAGACAAACAATTCGTTACAGCAATCCAGGCATAATTCAGGCAATATGCAATCACATACGTCATGGAAGCTACTTTTTACAAAGATCAAACACTATCTTTGCATCTTTAATTGCTTCCTGCTGTAACAGGATAATTCAGTGTACTGTCACTTGCATTAGCAAATGCCATATTAATTTATCCTTTCACCTGGAGTGAAAAATCTTTCCTAGGAATTAAATATTCCACTGCTCAGCTTGCGCAGACCATGGGGTCCAACCCAGGACACAAGAGGTGACAGTGCCATTACCTGAAATGGGAGAAGCACAGAGGAAGAAGAAAGCTGTGTGCTACTGCCTGTGTCAAAAACACAAGTGCATGGCAAGCGGGGGGATGTTATCAGGAAACAGAAAAATCAGGCAGGCAGAACGTGTGTGTGCTACGATGGGTTCAGGAACTTAATTCGTGGGAGTTTTACTTCGGAGATAGCGTGGCTGGTGCTAGTAAAGTCTTTGTTCCCTGTTTCAGTCACAGCAGTTCTTGAAAAAGCAGGGTGTTGTTCAGTATCATAAATGAAAAAAAGAACTTCAAAAGGGGAAGGTAAAGCAAGCATGAGGGATTTGCCATGTCATTTGGATTTCCCTCCCACACAGAATGATTGCTGAGGATGCAGAGGGAGGACTCTTCACTGTGACCCTATTTAGAAAAGTGATGGATGATTTCAAGGCTAAAGCCAGGGAGAACAGGTAAGAAGCACTGACTGCGAGGCAGGGCAGGCTAGCAAGCAGATGATAAGGTGAGGCTTGTTCTGCGTGCGGTACAGCTGAATCCATCACCCCTTTTCAGCACTTCTTTACTGTTTGGGCTGCTGCTGGCCCTAAAGCCCCTGAGAAAGCAGGGTGGGAAGGAGCTGCGGCAGCAGGTAACAGTGATCCTGTTCTTTAGGCACCAAACTACACATCCTGGAACTGTCCTTCCTGCTTTTACACTACTGACAGCAGGAAGCTTGCTTTGTAGGGGTGACTTCAACTCCCACCCTTCCCATACTTTAACTGGTTGAATAGCTAGCAGCTTTGAAATATCCCATACCTGCTTCTCCAGAGGCAAGAGATGAGCATGCGTATTGCTTGGACTATGGCTTGTGAGAACAAATGTCATTCAATTGTAGGTTCATGGTTCGAGAATTTTATTTTGATGAGAAGGAACTGAAATGTGAAAAGGAAGAGCTGATGAAATTAGCTTCTGATAAGAAACAACAATATGTAAGTAGCACATCAAGTTGATGGCCCATAAAACAACAGCTGTTGCTACCAGCGTGCCTAAGCACCTCTCACTGGAAATGGCTGAGTTTCAGCAGACTCCTGTGAGCTCCATTTAGCCCAGAAGACCAAGGCACAGGATAGATAACAGTTTGCCCAAGGTCACTTGAGTTTCTGATGAACTGCGAGCCACTAACAGGCTGCCTGAGAATTATCTCAGCAGCCCACGGTGGCTTCCGTGGTGTCAGCTCCGGAGCCACTTCCCATGGTGAGATGGCAACTGTTGTGTCTGTCCTCACAGGGCCCGTTACTGCGCTGGCTGAAGGTGAACTTCAGTGAAGCGTTTGTGGCATGGATTCACGTAAAAGCCTTGAGAGTTTTTGTTGAATCTGTCCTGAGGTAAGTGGGTAAACGTGTAGCGCTGGCAGAGATTCCTGGAGAAGTAAAAATCTACAGCTCTCTTCCTGGGGCAGTTCCTTTGTGAGAGAGAACATTGCTTACACACCACGCTCCAGAAGCTCACAGGAGACAGTACAGATGACCACAAAAAGAGATGACATACAAAGCTGATGAAAAACAGTTCTTTTGGGGGCACTTACAGGGAAGCAGAAAACAGAAAGACACTGTTTAGTTGGCTTTCAGCTTCAAAAAGAAAATGCTTTTAGATAAGGAGGCAGCACACCACCGCTGAGATTGTGCACTGCAGCACACAATCAGCTCGTGTGCCAGGAGGGTGAAGAGGGAGGGGGGCGGGAGTGGAAAGGTGTGCCCCTTCCCAGCAGATGATCATGTATGTTGATGTGTTTCAAGGTACGGCCTCCCAGTGAATTTCCAAGCAATGCTGCTGCAGCCAAATAGGAAGTCTGTAAAACGCCTGAGAGATGTCCTAAACCTGGTTTTCAAGCACCTGGATGAAGTCGCAGCAGCAAGCATAATGGACGTATGTATTTGGATTATGACTGCACGTGCTGTAGCTTGTCTCAGTTTAGCCAGGTGAATGCTTTCACTGCCCAGGGGCTAGAGCAAGCAGCTCCTCACACCTTGCAGTGCTCAGATCCCTGGATGCAGCTGTAATCCCTGGGGGTTACAGATGGATTAGGGTAACAGGTAGGCTCAGATTATGATGGAGATGCATAGATTGCTTACGCTTTCTGTTGAAGCATCTGATGTTTACAGGTCCCAGACTGAAATAGGTCTGCTCAATTATGTCAGTTCCTCTAGGTAAAAAGCTTCACATCTATAAACATTCAGATCAACATAAGGAAGAATAAACTCAGAATTAAACGCTAGGACTGTGACACCTCTGTCCCCTGTGGAAGGCTGTCATTGACTAAATACCTCAACATAGGACTTCAGCAAGCATCAGTGTTTGCTTTCTCCCTCCCCATATCTCGAGTGCACAAACAATTTAGGATAAACCAATTATAGACCAGTAGGTGTCAAAACAGCCTAAAACCAGCAAGCATAACATTCCCAGTGCATGAAGGGAGGAGAAAGAAAGGAGCTGCAGGACACAAAAATGCTAGTTCATAAAGTTGCAACTAAGCGTGAATTCTCAACACTAACTGCATTAGGCAGCACTGAAAACACCAAGCCAACACCAGATTCTCAGCAGTGAATTCCCCATCTTAAGCACAGCAAATACAAAACTATTCCACCTGTGAAAGAGGAGCATGAAAGCAATCCACTGTGGCTTGGAACTGTGCAAGTTTGTTTACTGGTACTAAAGTCATATTGTTTCCTTTTGCAGCCTGGCATGGACATCCCTGGTTTACAACTGAGTAATCAAGAATACTATCCTTATGTCTATTTCAAGATTGACCTCAGTATTCTTGACTGCAGTTAAAAAAAAAAAATTGCTCAAGCTTCATCTATTCATTTTCAAGACCCTAATGTTACAGTAAAACAATCTTTAGCTGCTGAAAGTGAAATTAAAGTGCAGATGCTGTAGCAGGATAATTGCTTAAGATCTTCCTACCCTTTCCAGTAATTTTTACAGTGACTTCAATATAAATCTCTCTTGTTCATAGTTTTACAAAAGCATATTTCAGAGGCAGGAGGTACTATGGTAGTATTTATTTTTTTCTGGTAAGTTACAAAGATGGAGTATCTATTGGACTTGAAATAAAACAATTTCAAAAGTGTAGTGGCTAATGGATCTACTAAGTCTGTACAGTCCTGTTTTTCTAACAAAGCAAACTTAAAAAAAACCCAAAACAAAACAAAACCCAGAAAAAGCAGAAAGCATCACAGAAAAGCCTAAAGTTTTGGTTGTTTTGTTGTTGGTGTTTTTTTTTTTAATTAAAGAAAAGCTTAAGAAGAAAGATCCTCAAAATTGCTGTGGAACTTATTCTCATATGAATTGCAGTCCCAAGTACTCATAATTTTAGTTTTTGCCAAGACATTTCAGTAGTAACAGTTCCAGTAGATCTCATCTGCTGGGCTGACAGAGCTGGAGCAGTTTCCTGCCCCAAATCAACAGCCAAGTTACTGCTGGCTCACAGTGGTTCTTACACTGACTTTCATAGGGATGAGCTACTGACCATCTCTTACAGACACTAGATGACAAACACCCATATTAAGTTATTTCCTTGAAAGGAAGGGAAACTTTCAGTTCCTTCATTCCTTACTTATAAACAAGCTGATCATGAGTGTCACTTCACTAGACACCGATATACAATACACAGAAAGCAACAAAGCATAATAGTATTTTTATTTTAAAAAAGCAGCAGTAACCATCCCATTCCCAGTTCTGATTCCTCTTCCAAGGAAATAGCAATTTCAACTCAAAACGATGCCAGATGGGAAGTGAAGAAATATTAGATCCAATTTGCTGGAGACAGCACTGTGGTGTTTTTCTGTTAGCACCTGGAAATCCTCATGTCCTAAAAACAGGATTAGCTTCACTGCTAATCCTGGGGAGAAGACCAACAGCTCCCAGTGTCTCCCATGGCAGCAGCAACCCCAATTCCATGGTATTAATGATCTTACAAAGTCTGGCACAAAGAAAGAGAAAGCCCCTGAGAAGGAATAGGAAGAGGAAGACTAAAGAGCATTTAAACTAAGATTGTCTGTCTAATCAGGCTTTAGGCCAAACTACCAAGATCGTTCACAGCAAGGGGGTGGTTTAGGACTCCCCTCTCCACTAGCCTCTCTCTATTCTACAGTACAAGAGTCATCCAAACTGGGATAGTTTTTATCATGTGCACCTTTGTTACTCTATACAAGACTAACACTGTGTGTCAAAAATATTTTGTTTTATTCTTTAATTGAAACAGAAGCTGACCAGGGTCCACCTCCATAAAAAAAAAAAATCACATTTAAAGTTGGTTACGCTAATAGTCTCCAGTAACACTCAAACAGCACACTACCAACAAAATAAAAACCAAGACGTTCCAAAGAAATATCTATGATGTCCTCAAAATATTTGTTACACAGAATACAATCAAGTTTACTGGTTATGACAATTCATAGAATTTCTGCAATGTTTTCTTGAGATGCGTACAGTTCACTGCTGCAGTGCATCAAATAGCACAGTGTGTCACATGCCATTTCTCTGTAAAAAGGCCACTGGAATATCCATCTGATTGTGAACCAGGTTGCAAACTGCTGCACAAACTCTCCCAAGAAAAGAAGTTTCCTGAAGATCTCACAGCTCATCTTTATCCCAGTCATCCAGATCCACATCACTGAGATCAATATCATCTTCAACTGGAAGCTGTGAAAAAGGGAAGGTTTTGAGCATGTGTTTAGAAGCACCTAACACTGGGACATCACTGACTTTGAAAGATGCTTACTTCATCCTGAGAGTAAAGCTGCCACCTGTCATCTCCTTAATTCATAAAAATTCAAATCATATTAAGCACAAGACAAGTGATCAGAGTTTAGACTAGAAGGTTGTTGTCTACTAATAAAAATACTCCCAATAAAGGCAAATAAAGATAAACTAACTACGTAACAGAACTACTACCATATTCTATATTTAAATTCCATCTGAAGTAGATCAAAGGATTATAGTAACTTTGTTTTTCACGGCAATGTTGAACTTAAGAACATACTTGATCACTGTGTTATTACATGTGCTTTACCTTACAGACTTTCTGACATTAAAACTTCGATGGCAAGGTCAGCATACTGCAGAACCAAAGTCTCCACAAACATTCAGGTCTTGAATGCACACACTACCACCTCTCTCGCTCAGCATGGCTGGTAACACATTTCAGCCTCAAGGGATTCAACTTTCAGATTAAAACCCAACAGGATGTAGGCAGGAGTATCTGTCCACGTCAGACAGTGAATCTGGTGTTTGGTCGAGTGGCAGGATTTAGATACTGGGAAATCATACACAACTTGCCACAATCTTTGAAGAACAAGAACTTTCACATTGCCAGTTGTTAGTTACTCTGTCCAGTCCCTTCTGAACCTAGCAAGTCACCAGCACTTTTAGAGATGGAGAACCTCTTACCTCACCATCTTTGCCATCCCAAGGTTCAACTGAATGAATTTTAGGGAAAGCTCCACCACCCACTGGTGCTGTAGAGCCACGACCAACAGACAGTTCCCTGAGGAAAAAAAGAAAGTAAAAGTTAAATTTAAGAAATTTCTCCAGTCTCCATCCACCTGGAACAGTGCCTGCCTCAGACAAAGGGAAGTTAACTTAGAAATCTGCTTACATCTCTTGAAGCAAATCTAAACCGTCTGGAAGCAAAAGCTTTTCAAATTGAGAAACAGAAAATAAGAGAGCCCTTAAAGCAGCATTGCTAACTTTGGGGCAAATTATGTGAGCTACACTGTTTCATATTTCAGCTGTGTCCCTGGTAACACTCATGAACAAATACAGCCCCTTTAACAGTTTGTTATTTATCACTTCAGGCAACTCCAAGAGGAGTCTATAATTCTGATTTTGGAAGTCACCTGGAACTGTTACTTGAAATCTCTAGTGATCTTTATTAGTGGACTCTTAAGTCTCCACAGGTTACTCTGAGTACAAAGCAACCAGCTTCTGCTTTGAGACACCCCATCTTGCACTTGCAAGTTAGGCTTGCTCAAAGAGCCTAATACTAAAATCCTGAAGAGCTAATCCCTTCAACATTCTTTCAGAGACAAATAAGACTGAATAAGCATTCCTCCCCAAGGTGGAGTCTACAATTTTTATGCTCTTCTTAGTGGTGATTTCCTTACTTTTGGTCAACACTCTTGAGACTGCCTATTAGATGACAAAGCCTGCACACAACAGGCTGAGTTAACAGCCAGCTACACCACCTGTTATTGTGCTGATTTCCCTAGGCAGCACAGTTGAGCTGAAGTGTCAAGTAAGATTATTCCAGCAAGTATTGTCTGTAGTAAGACAATACCAAATCAAGTATCTAATGCAATATGAGCTGTTAAGTTGGTTATTATGTCCTGGAAGCACCATCCACCCTTACCAGGAGAGGCTTCACTAAGATGGATTTTATAGACTAAGCAAATTTGCCATGTCTGAGAAAGGCAGGCATTTCTCCCTCATGCATGTGTACAAACTGTCCGTTAATACTTTTCTTGCGTCTGAATCCTAAATTTTACTTGATGCTCTGAGAACCTTCCCTTTTGGACGTTATGAAGAAAGTCTGATCACTTACATAGGTAAGAGAACATAGCACTGCTCCCAGTAATCCAGCAGGGACAGGGTTCAATTAATGTGCTTCTTATGGCAAGGTAGGAAGAGACTTGCATTTCCTTTTGCAATTCTGACTGTCCTCTGCCAGTCTCCAAGCAAGGACATGGCAACAACACTGCTAATATAAGTTCTCAAAGGCTCTTATACACCTTATGACAGCTGGTGTTTACCTAGAAGGAGAGTTTCCACTTCACTTTGACCATGCTTAAGTAACAATTTAAATTTAGCTGCTCTCTTTCAGTGCTGCTGCTGCCACCTTCTGTCCTCCTCTCCATTTCCTTTCCCCATTCAGTCTTCTCAGCACTGACTCTTGCCCAGCTACACAAGAGGCAGTTTCAGGGAACCTGAGCTAAGCAGAGAGCTACTGACTTTTTGGATAGATTGCTTCAGCTCCCCCAACTAGTTTGAGATGCCAAGGGAATGTGAGGGTGAAGGCAAGACCAGACTCAACCAGAAAGATGAATAGCAACATACAGAACCTCAAGAACTTCAACAGCACCCATTTAGATTCCCAAACTGGAAACTTCTCAATTACTAACCAGAACACACCATTTGAATTAAATAGTATTGACTCATTAATTTCTTGGGTTACCAGAAAACCAGAACTTAAGATCAATGCTCACTTCTGTTTTCAAAAGTTATACTACAACTACCATTTAAGTTTAAATGCCAGCTTCTTATTTCAGTCCACTGCAAAAAGGTAAAGACTGCTTCATTAGTGGCAATCCCCACTGAAATTATTCCCTTACTCCAGTGAATGCTCATCATCTTAATTCTCTTAACTGTGCAAGTCTCATCCAATTCAGGACAGCCTGATTTTGGTTTAAAGAGTCACAGCCCGTTACAGAAATATTTGTGTCACCTAAAGATTTTGTACCTGAGAAACTCATTAATCCCTTGCTCACTGAATGATCCTTTCAGAAGGGCAAATTTCATCTTCCGAGCATTAACAGCTGCCATTGCTGGATACCCAAAACCTCCAATTCCCAAAGAGCTCTCAAGATCTGACTGAGCACCTGCTTCTGTCCACAGCCACCTTGAGGAAAAGATAAAATACAAAATGAATAATTAGGATAGGCACTACAATCATTTTGAAGTCACGCATATCCTGCAACCCTGCAGAGTTCAAGCTGGGCTCTGAACAGCCCTTGACAGTGTCAACTGTTGTTAAAGTTAGCGGGGAACAGCAG